GATGGCGTGGAGTGTGCTCTTGGGTGTTTGGCTGCCCCGGAATCCACCAGATTCATGCGTGGAGTGTGCTCTTAGGTGTTTTGGCTGCCCCGGAATCCACAAGATTCCTGCGGGTTGGTGGTGGGTTGTGCAGGCCAATGGTGTGCTGAATGGCTGTTCAAGCACTGTGCATTCTAGCTATGTACTTTCACTGTTCTGCACTACATTCTGAAGGTTTATGTTGTGATTAACAATGAGATACAATGAGTAATCTGCCTTACACAAGGTGTTTTGCCAAGTTACATAACCTCAGGAGATACAAAACATTGGATGAAGTCTATACATGGTTGCGAATACCTCTGGTGTGCCAAACCTTGCAAGACTTTATTGTCTTGGAGCAGCACCTGGACAATCTATCAAAGATCACTGATTGTATGAAGCGCCGGCTCGATGTGTATTTGGAGGTTAAGCCAGATGGGAAGGTCTTTGACTTGTCTCAGAACGCAAAGAAAAGGTGCCGGTGTGCAACAACGTGTTTACCTACATTGACCAAAGGCTGTTCATACTGGTGGATTCGTGACCACCAGCGTTTCTTTTGTACCTTGTCTAGGATCACTGTCAGCTGCCAGACAAAAGAACCTAACAGTGTGTTCAGTGTGTTCTATTGTGGATCTCATTCAACAAGTTTGGCCACCCAAGGGGGCGGCGAATTGCTGTTGGCCCATGGCTTTCCTGTTTCATCCTGGGCTGCTGAAGAAATGAACATGCAGCGCTACGAAGTTTCCGGACTCAGTATCCTGGCTTCACTTTAGGCCAGAATGTCAGTCAGGCTCATGCAAAATTTCTCGACTCTATAAACTGTCTTGATAAAGCCTACCCATTTCCAAGGTCACCGAATCTTGTGCTCCATTGCAGGGGACTCTATGATAGTGCCTTGCGTAGGCATGGTCCTTGCAGCAGGGATCATCTGCAGTAGCACAGAGTAGCACAGGGTTACTTTTTGTAAAGAGCTTTTAGGGCGCTCTGTCCAAAGCTGGAACAACTAATGATCAGCTCGAAAAGGTTCAGTCTGCGTTCCATCAGACCTTGAGGACGCTTACTTTGTTCTGTCCAGTCATGTACTCTGATTAGTCCTTTGGGTGTTTGTTGTTGAAGATTTCAAGCGGTGTGTTTGAGGCTGTGGTGACACGGCACGCTGAACTGTGAACGGTGTGCGCGCCACTTTCCCAAGCACATTTTAGGTTCTACAATCCAGGTCACAGATTAGGACAATGGAAGCTCTTCTGAATGAGGAAGACCCGGGTGATACGCCAGGGGTTGTGTACGTGGTGTGTCCCAGTTGCATACCAGTTGTGACAATTTTGTGACAATTTTGTTTTGAACCTGCGGAATCCACTGTGGAACTCCCGCTGGCCCGCTGGCTGTTCTATCTAAAGGTGTTTGTGGCACAACGACCGTGTCCCGATTGCCGATGCCATCCCAAATGGGAAAAAATGGAAGTGTCGCAAGTGCTACAACAGTGACGCTAGGCTTTAACGCTGTTGCGTGCCATGTCAGAGACTTTGCAAGGCAAATACAAAGCCTCTCTGTGGAGTCCGGGGCGGCTAAGGAACGCAGTCTTCAGAAGAAGTACAAGGAGGACCAAAATTCACATGTTTGGACAGCCATGTCTATTGAGGAGAGGCGGAGCCATGTCGTGGCAAATCGTGATAACAGCGCTGGTCGAGGTACAAAGCGCAAATACGAGGTTTCTGAGGCAGCGACAGTTACCGACAAAGTTGGTGCTCAATCTCAGAAACCACACATGAACCAGCGGCAGTCCCTTGACTTTTCCGGATCACGATGAAAATGGTGAAACATTGTTTTTTTCATGTTATTTCGGTTGTGGTCGTTTCCTGGTTCCTATTCGGTGATAGGTGGGGTGGGACTTCTATGAACGGTTTTGGACGTTCAGGTTCCAAGCTCATGGGCGTGAGAGGTGGGGGTGGACAGCTGCAGAAGCCGAGCTGAAATGGCAACAGGCACTTCAAGACCCGTCGGTTCCGAAAGGCTGCGATGATGAGGGATGGACCACCGTGGCCAAATATTCTGTCTCTGCCATATCTTCTTCGAGAGAGTGTGCCCATGAAAAGCGCATCCACAGACAGAATGAAGTAGAAGCGGCGCCAGAGCAACTGCTGGGCGTGCGGGATAGAGCCTCTAATTTATCTAGACATATTTTCCTTTGAAACATTGAAGCTTGAATGAAACAACACATATCTTATGACCGCGCTATTATGTAAACTTGTATGAACCTTGATGTTGAGATCTTGTGTGTTTATTCTTGCCAACTGGTGTGCTGAGACTTGTTGAAAACGGCTGACCTCCATGCGCACACCGGCCTCTTTGGTCTACAAGAGCTTCCAGCGCTTCCAGATTATCATGGGTTTGGGACATTCAATTTTGCAAAGGCCAAAGCAAAAAACAAGCTGAGAAGGAAGAAACAGGCGAGGTTTAAAGTTTGAGGGCTTCCTTACTTCCTTTCAGATGGAAGTCAATAGAATGCGTTTGGCGTCCTCAACCTTGCCTTCTCAGGGCGAACCTGAGAATCCTGATCCGGAAGACGCTGTCAGGGCCGCGAAGATTAGACTTAGGCAAGCAGAAACCAGGAAGAAGTGGGAGCCTTTTCAGCACCACTTCAATTAACCAAGGAAGGTGAAAGGTTTCTAGCAAAGGTCGTATTTCCGTTTGGCATTTGTGACTCCACTTATTGTCAAGTGTTTTTTAAGTGAGCTGCGATATGCTGCGATCGACTTAACTGGCCCAGGAAGCCTCCTTGGCAGACGGCATTCAAGAGTCCATCCCAGCGCTGATGTCGGCAGGTGCCTTTCCAGAGCTCACTGAGTTCAGCTCTCAAATTCTGAGCCTGTGAGCCTCCGTGTTCAGAACGTTTGCCGTTGTTTCTAGGAATGCGTGATCTTAGTCCAAGAGTCTAAGGCTTCAAAAGACTGTGCAGCGCCAGATTCTCACAATGTCCTCCTTGCTACCGGATCTTGATTTTGAGACTCCATGCGTCAAGCACTATTGCTCGCTCGTGCCTGCATTTCAGGAAGAATGGAAGGTAGCAACTACAAAGCTTAGTCCCAACTCGCATGCCTTGAAGAAGACGGCTTTTTGGCCAAACCAGTCTATTTGCAAAAAATTAAAAACACGTAACTTTTGCTTGGCTGCCAACTGTGCAACCTGGCGTTGGTTGGTTACCGGGATGGGGCCTTGTCTGAGGTTTTTGGTGATGATGACCTGGAGTCTTCTATGAAGTCGATGAAGCTGTTTGAGGACACTATGAAATCAAATGAGCAGTGCCTCAAGAAAGTCAAATCCAACCTGACAAAAGAGGTCATCAGGCTGAAGCAGAAACAGGAGAAGGAGAAGAAAGACGCGGAGAAGAAACGCAAGGCGAGAGAGCGCAAAGAAGCCCTAGAGACAGCTATTGGTGATGGTGAGGAGGAAGACGGTGATGCCATTGGCATTGAAAGGGTTTTCCTGGGAAGGGGGGTCTCAAAATGAATGGGGGTCTCAGCAATTGACTGCTAGGATGATGATGTTTGCATTGCAATTTTATGGAAACTTTGGGCTGGCTGGTTTCAGCACGGGCCTTTGTAGTTTGATTGTTGATTGCCAGCAAAATGATTCTTGATTGCTGGGCTGATGATGTGAGCCTTGGCAACATGATTCTTGACTGCTGGCCAGAGGGTATTGGCAATGTGTTTCTTGATTAATTTGATGGTTGCTGGGATGATGATATTGGCCTTGGCAATGTAGGCTTGGGTCTTAGCACGCTGAAGCGACATTCGCACAACTTGTGGGTAGTATGGACGGTCAAGAACCCAGCTTTCAGTTTGCTCAACATTGGGCCAGCGTTGTCGTTTACAATCATTAACGTTGTGGGCGCGACTAGGCGTAAAACGCCAGCAAACAAAACGGAAACGGAGTCATTCTGTTGCTGCTGCTACTTGGGGCCAGGGTGCTGGACGCACAACTGCGGACGTGTGAATAATAACAAGAAACGTTCAGCTGGTGAAACGATAATCCGTCAAACAAATTCAAGAGGGCTGCGAACAGGGGAAGGGAACGAGGGGAGCTGTTGAGAGCAACAGGTAACGGTTTTTTTCACGTCAGCGCTGACCTATTACGTACAGATCAAACCCCGACCCAAAACGTGACAACAGGAACGCCAGCAACGTTTCAGGCCAAGCAAGACAATGCGCCTGCCCAATTTGAGCCAAAACGCGAACTTGAGCCAATTTTCACTTTTTAAATTTTCACCCAAAATGCACGGTGTCGCTGACTAAATATACAACTTGCTGCAAAGCACCTCTCTCACCAAACCCTACGGGGCTACCTCATCCAAACCCCATCAACCGATTGGACGGTTTCAGTTGCCAAGTGTTATGGGTTCTATTTACGGTTTAATCGATTTTTTTTTGAACACTCGCATTGCCGTAGGCACCTCCCGCGTTGACATTTGTTTTGGGCACGCCGTCTCAAGTCCGCTGGCAGTAAGTCAGTTGACATGAACTTTGCCATTCGTCAGCTCACATCTACACAGGGCAGTCAGTCAACTTCCTCAACGAGCTTGTCTTCGACCGCGTCAGACTCTTCGCCTCCCTCTTTTTCCACATCGTCAAACTCCCCAGTCTCGGCATCGTTTGGCTTGGAAGCGCTGGCTGCTTCGGGCTGAGGAGGTCCTCCCGTCACACCGTCAGACTTTTCATTTCATTCCACACTTTTCATTTCATTTAATGTCATGTCATTTCATACTTTTTGGTTTCATAGGGGCGCAAAAAGTGGATCCTTCACATTCAACCTGGCTTTGAGCGCACCGTGGGAGCTGCTCTGTCAAGCTGGCCTCAAACAATTTCATTGTTCAAGGCGCGAGCTGGAAAACAGTAAGCAGGTGGACTTGCTTTCCGAAACGGTGCCAAACTAAGCAAAACACTGCCAGTTGTTGGCAATACTCGATGGTCTGCCCTGCAACCATTTGGTCTCTCACAACATCCTCGGCGTGTTTTGAAGCACACAGCGCCCCATGAAATTAGTTCTAAAACCACACACAAAGCTCAGAAGAAGTCTTTGAATACCGTGAAGATCATGAAGGTACGTGCATACGCATGCACACTTGCGTGGCATCCCTTTTAACTTTAGGCTATATTCAACAGATTTCAACAGTGTTAAAACACATTTCAAGCGGCAATGGCATCGCGAATCTTCTGCTTCTCGAAATACTTGCCACCCATACTAACGAGTTGCTTGCCATCAACTTTGAATGCAAAAGTGTTGCTATACTTGTAGTAGTAAACTGGACCGATCTTCCCAGCAGCATGGCCACCTTAAAGTCTATGCGTTGTTCCCGAACAATACGCGAAAACACAAAAGCACAAAACACACGATGATCTCACTAGACAATAGCACGCTGTTGAAACTATCAATTGCCCATTAAAGCGGCGAATCACAAAAAACAACTGCTAGTTCAACAGAAACGCTTGAAACGGACTGCTTCTGCGCTCGCTCTGCTGGCTGGCTGGCTGCTGGACGCTTGAGCGCTGACGGCCTTTTCATGGCAATGGGCTCAGGTTGTTCAGCATCGTTACCATCAGGCGCAGGCTCTTGGGCTGGTGTGGTTGGGGTGTCCGCCTTCGACTTCGACTTTGCTTGCGCTTTTGCTTTGCTTTTGCCGTTGGCCTTCGGGCTAGCCTTTGGCTTCGGCTTCACAGTTGGATTGGTCGGGGCGGGTTCATCTCCTGTACCTGCCTGTTGAACCTTGGTAGTTTTCTTCTTTGGAAGGGTTTTCTTGGGCTGGGCTTTAGGCTTTGCTTTGGCTTTCTGCTTTGCTTCAGCAGCTGCTGCTGCAGCAGCAGAAGCGGCTGGATCCTGCTGCACGTGGCACGGGGATTTTGGGGAACGCCGTTAGAAACCACAAACTTCCATCGTTCAAAAGCCGACCCAAACTTTTGAGGGGTCCTGGCACTCATCCTCTGACCCACTCAAATTGGTAAGTGCTGGCAAGGCATCACCCATGGCACCAATCACCAGCAACAGTGGTAATTGCAAGTCAGTACGGGGGCCACTACGCAACGCAGACTCGAGGAAACAAAGCCGGCGCATTCATCGCGTCTCACAGAATTCAAAAACTCACTGGAAGTGGTCTGTGGCTTGCACAGCAACGCATTCTAGTCTTACTGCTGCTGCTATTTAACGACATGACCCTGTCAGAACTGCCAGCACGTCAACAAAATTCAGCAACCACCATTCGCTGAGGTTAGCTGCAAACACTTCAAAATGCAGAGCTGCAGCCGGGAGAAAACAATTTGAGAAACACTTTCACAAAAAGACCAACATTTATGGTCATTGAGTCAAGTTAGGAACCATCTTGGGAGGCTCAAAAAAGGAAACCTCCTCCAACAGCTCTGCAAAGCATCACACATGCTGCGCTGTGAGCACAGCCTTAAGCACTCAAGTCGTAAGGCTCACAACTTCACGAAAGTTGAGGGAGCCAAGCGCACACTGCTGGTAAGGTAAAATTTTGGCTTCAAGGGAACGACCTTCGGTGTCGAACCACCCGCTTGGATCTGAACCTGTGGCAAGATTGGCATCAAGGGCGCAGTAACAGCAGCAGTAACTGCGACCATTTGAACATATGATTGCAACATCATACTCCAAAAGAAAATAACACACGTGGCCAAGGTTTTGAACACCTTAAGTATATCACTGTCTCTTTTACCACAGCACGAATCTTTTTCATTCTCACCCCCCTTGGCAAAATGCGCGGGCGCTGCATTTGACAACTGCCTACTGGTTTACACATTAAATTACTTGGTCGATGTCTTCTATTTTACACCAAAATCTCTATTCTCCAGTAGGGCCTTTTTGGTTGCTGGACTGGGACCCCTGTCTGAAGACTCGAAATCGGACACTGCAGCTAGGCGGTTGGCTAGTTATTTCTGTCATTTTGATGTTAAAAAATAGAGCTCAGCGCTGTTCGCCAACACACTTTGTCTACCTGTCTACCCAGAAGGCATGACTTTAGAGACAAAGAAGGCCTGCCAAATCGGATATAACAACCACACCGGAACACTAAGCGGGCGCAGCCTCCCAGACCAACGCTGCATGCTTGCAGTTCTCTTGCCGCAAAACGTGGTTCAGGTTGCCGACGAACACAGCTCCAAGGCTCGCAGGTTTGTGAGCCTCTGTGTCTGGGTTCACCAAGGCATTTGGCTTGAAGCAATTGCACTTGTTGGAGTCGGGAACACGCACGTTGTAGCGGAATGGGACAGTCACCGTCGACTCAGCGCCATTCTCAGTAACCTTACACGCCAATCTCTCGGTGCACCAACTCACACGTCAACAACACAGCAACGTGCAGCAACTAAAGAGCGTAAAGGAACTGTCCTTGTCTTCGGCTCGATCTCATGATCCCACACAGTGAAATCTGCAAGGCCCCGCTCACGAGCCATCTTGCACAGAAACGTGCACAGTGGCATGCATTGCTTCTCATGCGCCACCAAACTCATGTCGGAGGCAAGCCTCCAAGGTAATGTAGCCGTCTCTTGGTGCCCACTACCTTCATGGCTCAAAAGGTCCCACTACAAGCAAACATGGCAGTGACCTCGAGGCAAAAAGAACCTAGCAAAATGTATTTTAAAAGAACCTAGCAAAGCCAAGGCACCACGGATGATGAGCACTTGGAATGCTCCGGTATTAAAGCCAAACAGTTCACCTGGCTTGACAAGCATTTCCTCTGTCGTGAAATTCCCAAGGAAGACCCCGTAGGTCTTGGAGATCACAATGGACGGGCGGCCGGATTTGCCAGGACAAAGCGCCAACCTGCCATCTGCAACATTCGGTGAACGGTCATGGTCACACTATGTCACACTGTTTCAATATCAACACAATTTGGTGGAAGCCCCGGCCTCTCTTCTGAAAAGCTCTCAGAGGGTATCTTCACCAAATCAACTTCTCGTTCAAGATCCAGCAAATCTGAATTGGTGAAGTCCGGCGATCCAGTGGCTCGGGCGGAAGGGTTGGAAGGGTTTGCCCTGCTGGTCATGTTCTGGTGCCGAGCAGTAACAGCAGATTGGTCATCCGCGTCCGGCCACAAGACTTTCAACTCGTTCAGCAATTCTGACAGCACATTGTACTGCTCACTTCCCCGTGGAAATTTGTCTAAGACTCCAGGCGGAACTTTTGGCCTGTCATTCTCCCAGCGAAGGACACGCAAGTCTGGAATTGTAGCCGGGTCGCGTGGCCGCCTCTTTGGCGGAGCATGGCTGGACTGGTCCCACCAGTTGTAGACCACTTCTTCAACCATCGGGACAACATCCTGCTGGGAGTCCTTCAAGAGCCCAAGGTAGCTCACATTCTGCATCTTTGAACCAGTCAGCTTTTGCTGCACAATGGCACGGCCAAATTCGGCCCACCTGAACCCGGCAGACGGTAACAAAAGGATGACAAACAAACGAAATGGACTTGATTCTTCAACATTGAACCACTAAAATCTACAACTATTCAATTGTGGTCGAAGCTACCTTCCCGATACAAACATACAAACAACAAGAAGTCTTGGGAGGGCCTGTTTGGCAAAACGTCGAAGACCACCACTTCGTCCTTCTCCTTCAACGCGACGCCCTGCAGGTAGGCTTCCAAGATCAGAACATGCGCAGCCAAACCTTTCCTCAGGGAATGACACCCCGCAGCAAAAAAATGGACAGGTGGCAAAAAATAATAGGATCAAACAGTGAAAAAATACATTGAACTCACATACAGGCTCTGCTCAGCTCGAGCACTGGGGCTAGGCTTGGAGTTTTCATCATAGCCAAGCATGTCGGCCACCCTTACCAGAGGAATGGGTGTGATCACCTGCGGGAAGTTCCATGCGCACAGCTTCGCATCTTGGGTCACAGCAAAGCATGATTGAATGCCCCCCCTTTTGTCGGAGGCTGTGGAGTCAGGAGGGCTTGCAAAATGCAAAATGACATCACGAGATGTGTCCATGCGAGCGGTCACCAATGCATCCTCCAGCTTTCGTCGGTGGGAGATCACAGCTGTCGGCTTCGTGTTGGTTTGGTTGAGTGGTAATTGAACATGAGCACCATGACAGCGGGGATTCATAGACAAAACTGTGGAAAGTACTTGGACAGAAGTACTCAACGCTTTGGCATTGGCTGGGAAAACGGTCGCGTCCATAAGCACAAGCACGTACCTCACCACAGCAACTTGGCAAGTTGCTGGACCCGAATTGCCCCCATCGACGGGCCAACCGGCAGCCCACAAAAGGACCCCAAACAAAGCAAAAGGAATCAACTTTTGAACGAGAGACACATCACCACCACCTTCACCCTTACGGCTGGAAAGCTCTGTGAGGTCTCTGATTGCAGTCGTCATGCTGTCATCTACAACAATGAACCTGGAGTTTGCCTCCATCCACTGCCGGGTATAGGCCTGCCCCTTCCTGAGGCGGTGGCTAATCAAAAAACGACTAGACTTTAAATAAGCGCCTAGACTTCACCCGCGCACAAAACCCTCAGCATAGGAACATGTTTTTCAAATTATGTGCACTGAGGGTCTGCTGCCTTGACTGCAAGTATTGCATGTCCAAAGCAGTTTCTCTCGCTTCTCGATCCTTGCACGGCTTGCACTGCTCCTTCAGCACTTTGATGTCCTGCTCGACTTTGGCCTTCATATGGTTGAGATTTGCCCACTGAACTTTGTCTTGTAGGTCCCTGTCCTGCGCCTCAAGCTCAGCAGCCTCTCGCCGCTGCGTGTCCAAAGAAACGGACCTGCCCACAACGATTTCACTGAAAAAATACCTGGCGCCCGTGGGTAGAAAAAAACAAAGTTGGAAGTCTGTGACACCATGATTTGAAAGAACATCCCCTCAACAACACTCCCAAACCAGCTCCTGAGGAAGCCAACATCCTCAAGCTGACCTGGGAAAGGGCTGCTCTCCATAGCATGCGAGATGTCAATGTCAAGGTGCCCCGACATGAACTGCTCCTGGATACCAGCAATCGTGGTATCAAAGTCATGCTTCGCAATCTTCTTTTCCAACAGGCCGACATAGTGCAAGAAACCCCCGCACACAGCGTGAAGGTTCGCAGTGTCACGGGCATTCCACGCTTTGCGCAGAGTAGGGTGCATCTTGTCCCAGTCAGCGCACATGCGCTGAATCAGAAGCATGACCTCGCAAAAACCACTGTAGGTTTCGCAAGATCCGCATGTGGCAGTTGCCAACTAACCCCCAAAGCAAAAAAAACAATAATAAGCTGATATCATTTTAGTAGCCAGTGTGTGCTGGCCGTCATCCAAGTTGGTCAGAGCCCCTTCCCACGAAGAAATTGTTCCGGTCCCAGAACTGTATGCCGTTGAAAAGATTTCCTTCGAGATGGTTTCGTGATTCATGAAAGGGCGCATGCCCCTTGTCCTGACTGCCTTGATCAACTCGCTCACAACGGGCGAAGGCACACGGTTGATCAGCTGGAACACCGCTGAAGCTTCCTGCTTCCCGATGCTATACGCCTTCGACAATTGGGCCGCGGTTTCCCAGGCCTGATTTGACGTGGCTGCATCAACCCACCTACATAATACTATATGTATATACTATATATAGATACAGAAATCCACACATGAGCGCCGTGAAGTTGACGAGGAAAATTAACCTGTTGGTACACTTCTGACCAGGAGCCTTGGCTGCCTCCTCTTCCACATGAGCTCGCGAAAGAACTTCCATTTGCCGCATGAAGTTGAAGCAATGTGGACTCTTTCTAAGAGCGCTTCCCATAGAGATGCCTTCAACACATGGGATGAGTTAGTAATTCTCTACTAGTTACTAGTCTATAGCCACGTGTACTGACTGGCCTCTGCTGGCAAGAACTTGGTCTTGCACATGCTTGTAGTCCGCGACAGTGATGTAGACGCTTTGCATGGAAGTCTGGAGCGACCAGGATCCAATTCAGGTCACAAGTAGTTGCCACATAGTTTCATTGTAAGACACGAGCCAGCACAACCCCTACCAAGACAAGTTTGAGAGGCCACAAAGGGTGCGCATAAGGTTTCTTACGCGCGCCCTTTGTGGCCTCTCAACCTTTGGAACAGCAAACTCACAATTTGGCACCTACAGCGCTGGCCTTGAAAGATTCCGAGAGCGAATCCAGCTCTATGTTCAAGGACCGGATTGCTTCAGCCACAATCAAACATGTCACGGATCGACGGTATCCCTTCACGTAGCTGAGGGAAAAAGGTGGAAGTAGTTCGCCTCACTATGAAACACGTCTACACTTCAAACACAAAACCAAGTCTCAAGGGCAAGCGATACAAGCGATAAGCGCTGGCAACAGTTTCCATTCCATCCTTGAGGCCCCAGCCCTCATCTGTCAGTGGTGGGAGTTCATGATACTTCTTATCCAGAAAAGAACTGTCCACCTTGCCAGCGATGGCTAGGCGTTCCACGCCTGGAATCACGTCTGAATTTGTTTTGAACCTTGGCCGGAAAAGCTTGTCAATAGCGAGTAGTGACTATCTAGTTCCAGCAACTCGACACAGTGCACCCACAAAGCAAGTCAAGCGTTTGCAAAACAAGTGTCCCCTCAAGAAGGTAGAGCTCACTGAGCTGAATGAGTTGCTCAGGCTCTATGAATCCAGACAAACCAAAATCTGCACGCCACCCCAAATTGAAGGGTCGCACAACGTGTGGCCCTGGCTGAAGCTCGGCGCAATAAGCCTGCCTCGACAGGGGGCCACACAGAGAAATTGCATTGGGCACTGTCACTCCTGGCCTTTGGTCTGGTGGAAATGTCTGGCTCAGCCACGAAGCAAAGTCTAGCTTTGCGTCCTGTGAGGCTAAAATGAAACTAAGTCCTCCCCATGATGACGCTTAAGTCTTAAGTCCTCCCCCGCGTATTTCTTCTCCAGGTAGACATCCGGACCGCCAACCGTGATCACGTTGTCTTCCAACCTCAAACACAGTGACATATGTCATGTACACGCAGAATTTTTTGGGAGTGGGCATTTTTGTCAAGGAACCAAGTGGTGACCTTCTTGATCGCCGACGCTGTAGCATCAATTTCGAGATTGTTGCTACTCTTCATGAACTTCAGTTGCGACTGGCCTGATTGGCCAGAGACCCGCCTTTTGGCTGGCGGCATGGCTGAGCAAACAGAAACAGACCCTGGCAGCGGGACCCGTTCAACCGGACCTACCTGGCCCTGATAGCGAGAATGCATGATCATAAAGTCACTTCCTGCGCTGGCTCAATAGGCGCAATCACAACTAGACTTGACTCGACAAGCAAAGTTCTCTCTCTCTCTCTCTCTATCTCTCATCTGCAGCCGTGACAAAGCGTGCGTGGTCAAACATCTTTTGTCACCCACTGTGTCCATTGTGTACATCGCTTAAGCAAACCGGAGGCGGGTAGCCCAGAAGAAGGACTGGACTGGTGAATCACCTGGCCAGAAAGCAAAATCAACACCAAACATTAAAAGGACACCCAAGAAGTGGTTGGACCAGCAACATGCCTCCTCGCAAGATTGGATTTTGAACAAACGTGTCAAATGTTCCAGAGCCTGTAAGCAATGTGTGATCAAATGGCAAATCACTCGCAACTTTTTATCCATGTCGGGGCAGGAGGAAAAGAAATCTGACCCCATGAAGCGTCAACAAATTGATCTCCATCATTTCAGCTTGGCCCACACCACACGCCCAGGTTTTGAAGGCAGCGCTTTGGGCTCTGCATACTCTACAGGACTTTGAACTTCCCAAGCGTACACATGCTTGTAAGTCGCAACCACAGGAAATTCACTGACGCTTGAGATTTGATGTTTCCTCATGTGCTCTGGTAGGAACATGTAGTTCTCTGGGCAACCTGTTGGAGGCGCCACAAACCCACGGTGGGCCTCTGCCACTTTAAAGCAGCCGACAAAGACAACTTCTCCGAGCAAAAGCGCTTGGCCAGTTGGAGATGATTTGGCTGTGCACGCAATACCGATGCACGTGTGTGCCTTCTTGTGGCATCGCATGGATCGAATCTCCCATGTTTTGCCACCACGGAGAATGCGCATACACCATTTGTGATCTAAAAGCAAGGCAGAAGTCGGGGCCATGGCCGCGTCCAGGTGTCAAGCAGCAACAGCCTCTATCTCGAAAACATTGGACATGTTCACACCACAAAAATATCACGCATACACTTTATGATTGTCAGCCATGAGCGACAAAGTCACTTGATCGTCGAAAGCCAAACTGGACAGGCACACAGTGAGGACTTCAACAACCCAGCTAGGAAAACCATCCATCACTCCCCAGCATCACGCAACAACCATGGATTGGTGATGGATCCTACCTACGATCCATCACTCATTGCCCAAATCATGATTGGAACCGCCTACCTGAAAACACTGCCTCCACTGACAACTCTCCACCAGACCTGAGCAGGAGTGATGGATCCTACCTAGGATCCGTCACTCCTTCCTATGCTTCTGGCGAGGGCAACGGGTGTTAAATTCAAATTCTACATTGCTAATGTCCATGCCGCAGATAAAAAACCGGAACGTTTAGGGTTTAGGGTTTCAAAAACTGATTTCAATACACAAACTCACACCCCGATGAAATATACATGCCACATACCCTGCTCCCCGCCCCTGTAACAGGCAGCTGCTGAAGACTTGAAAGCCCGTGCGCCTGAAATTCTTCAGCGATGTACCAGCCCTCAGAACCTGAACACTGGCAAGACAGGCTCATGAGATTAAATTGTAGTGGATGGATCAGAATGGAACAGACTCAGTCAGCTCAGCGCCATTTAGTTGCGCCACCAGCATGCGTAACACGCTCAATCAAACCCCTGCAAATTGGGCACATCAGCGCCACAGCCCTGTTTGTGGGATTGAACGCATAACGCGCCAAGAAAGGTTCGGAACACACTTCGGGGAAATGTGAGGGCAGACCTGTCAGACAGGGCCATGGACAAAGCTAATTTGTGCGAACTGCGGCCACGTTAACAAAGAGCACCAACCACAAAGGTGACATCAGTGAAGCATCACGCGTGAGCGTGAAGGATGGTTGCTGTAGATTTGCTGACATGTTGCGAAAAGTTAAGCACAAAAATTGTGAACTTGACGTTCCCACCTCAAAGTCGCTAACCCTTGGCCATGACCGCATCATGATCACTGCAAAATTAACCTGCCTGACAGCATTCTGGTCAGGATGGTCATTCCCAGGAAAGCCTGTTGAGGAACCACAACGTTCCCCAAGGCCTCCATTCGCGCCTTGTGTTGGGGTGGTTTCTCAACACACAGCCACTTGTGCATGGCTACTTTGCCAGGCTCATTCCATGGGCGTTCAGCGAAGAAATTGATGGACGGATCCAAGTCCTCAACCCGCAATCTCAAACCGGACCCACAATATCGATCGTTACACGCAAGTCTCCAACTTCTAGGCCCGTCCTGGAATCGATCTGCCAACAGCTGACGAGCGTCAGGACGGACTGCCAAGATGAACACCCTCTGCCGTCCGGCCTTGGCAGTTCCGTTAGTCTAGCATTGTGCGTCCTTGGGCCTAGAATGTTCTGCACATGTCCATCATTGGCATCATGACCTGGAGCCCACTTATTAGTCTTGCGTGGCTTTAAGCCTGCATGCCGTACAGCTCAGCAACGGGCAACTCTCCATTACTAAACAGGGGCGAAGACACTTGAAATTGGATTTCCGGCAAGTATTGGAAACACACATGATGGAAGACCTGTCCACCAGCAACTTGCTTGGGCTCCAGCAGAGATGCCAACATTGCACATTTTGTTGGAGGTCCAAACAAGATCGAGGCCTCGAGCATGACACTCCTGCCATATCGAAGGGCTTTGTACCAGGTCAATATCAAAAATGAATCACATCGATGCCTTCACGATGAAGCACCAAAGCTTCCGGCACGCAGTCTGGGTAGAGAGCAACGCGAACACATTCTCCAAAAAGATGAGTTGCCTCAATCTTGGGGGGATCGGCTGGGTGACAAAAATCAATGGCTAAGGAGGGGGCCCACCCGGTAGGCGGTCAAAAGCATTGAAGGCTTCTGATATCAAGCTGCTACGCATGCCATCAAGGCCGGCTTGTGAACCAGCCTGGCTTATGTCCTCAGTAATCAGTAGTCGCACAAGGTACTTATGGTATCATCCGGTCATGTGACAGTGACTGGCAGCACTGAGCATTGGACTTGACATGGAAATCCTGCAGTGACTCCTTTCGCGTCCCGGGCGCGGCGTGAGGGTTCATAACCAACAATGTCTTCGCATATCTCACACCGCGGCAACAGCCCCTCGTCCATTCGTGCCCGAAGAACTTCCCGGCAGTATGGGTTCGATTCAACCTCGCCGCAACTGGCTGGAAGAATGACGCACCAACACGTTATACCTGACTTGATCGGTTTAGGCCCGCCACAAACTCAACAGCTCGGAACCACCTCAAAAACAGGCGGGCTTGCACTCATTCAGGAAGCAAACAGTAACACAGGTCATGTCAGTGAGGAGATAGCCTGTAACATGTACTTTAATGTTCATCCAATCATCCTTTTTGCTTTGCGCTGGGCATGGGTTGCATTAAAAGGCTTGTGGCTCGCGGCAGCCATCTCCACTTGTCGATCTCCTAGGCCACCAAAACTCTAAATCAAATGGCCAATGAGGAAAACAGAAACTTCGAAAGTTGGCACACGTTGACAAAAAGCGGACCCAAAAGCTTTCAAATTGTTTTGCAACTTTTCCACTTGGGCCGGTCTGCAAATCTGACTGGGAAATCCTGTTAAAACTCAAGCGTTTCTTTCTGAAAGTTCCTGACATTCTAGGGTCAGATTTCGAGACCTGCCCAAAGTGGAAATTTTGCACTGTGTTGGACTATGTTGGATACTTACAACAAAGGCAAAAAAACTCTTGGTAGCTGAACAAACTATTAAATTGATTAGACTAACGAAACTCAAGCTTTGGAGTTTTTACTAGCCAGGTAGACGCTCCAAAACTTCCAACTCGATCAAGGCACCCTTTCAAACTACTAGCTACTGCGACTGCGTCCGCGCGTGTTGCTCCGGTCAGTGGGGCGCTGCGTGGAATCTGACGGCGGTTGCACCTGGATCTGCTTTTTCTCCTGCGCTTGAATTTTGATCCAATGCCCGTCTTGCCAATACCACCTCAAATAGCAGAGACCATGATTGAAACATATTGGCCTGCCCTGATACCAAAAGGGAAACTAAGTAGACAGGAGATAAAACCTGTTTAATTGATAGGAAAGTATCACGCCACCATGCCAGTGGCACCAAACTTCCACACCATGTGGAACCCTCAGCATGGAACATTCAATCACAGGACTGACCCCCCCGAAAAAAAAAAACAAAGGTTCAACTGACTACCTAGTGGCTCAAGCTATTTAAAACAATGGAGCCCCGACACGGAAGCAAAAACTAGATATGGTAGTGGGGATACGTGGGCACTGTTGAAGGTACATCAATGTTTTGTATTCTATAAATTAAGTAGCCTTTGGTTTGAAACCTGAATCTATTAAACGCTCTAAGCTTACGTTTACCCCAATTTCTGGTCAATTAGGGTGGACGCCCAACCCGACTGGCGTGCTTCATGGTTGCCAAAAAGGCACACGGCCCTTCGCCAACAAGCCCAACAAGCTCTCACCCAACGCCAAACGCTGGATAGGGTCGCAATTTGATTCACACCGACAGTCCGCACTGTCTGCCACGCACTGTCCATTGGGGGCAGACTGGTTTACAGCAATGGAAGCAGCAAATTTTCTCACCAAGGGCGTTTGGATTGAAGGTTTGAGCCACTTGCAAAGCGCCAAACAATCATTATTCAGCCAACATGAACATAACAACAATTCCGTTTTGGGAGTCTTGCCTTCTGGGAATCTGACGGAGATAGGCCGACCTCGAGGCCACCTATGCCTGAAAACAAAGACACCATTTCGATCTTGCGAGACTCCTGCCACTGTCATTGTTACTGTGAAAACGTTGAAAAACACCCAGCCAAATCAAAACAATCATCACTGTCCTGAAGCCCCAACCCATGGAAGGCGTCCAGGGCATGTGGACTCACTGCGCCAGAAACGGCACTCGACCACCCCGTTGGAAGCCCTGGCAGTAGTTGTGGTATGAAACTCAAAGCCAGCGTCAGCGTCCCCGCATAAACTCAAAAGAATGCAACACATCCGAACAAACCTCCAGCGGCCTTGGAACCATTCAGCCGTTTCGCAGGCCAAATAGTTCCCTCTCGGAAGTCCATGCTCCACAATTGCCTTCTGGTAAGGCTCTGACAGGGCGACCTGATTGGCCAGGTCCTGGGCGCAAACTGGAACAGAACAGATCAAAACGCGCCCAACCTATCTCATATAAGGCTTGGACAGTGGACCCTCTACAGCTTACTTCTGACTTCGTGCATGTGAACGAGGAGCTGAAGCAACCTTGTGGGGGCGTAGAATCCAATTCAAACAAAGCCCAAGGCCCTGGCGCCTTCATTTCTGAACACGATTGCAAAAAACATGTAGATTAGGACCCCGACGAATGGTGCTCCATGACTTGATCAATCGGCAACCGGAAAACCGTTTTGCCCCGTTCTGCTTGGTCCCTGGCTGGTTCCTTGAAACCTGGCAGGCGAAGTCTTCCGGCCAAGTTCAAGCAGGCGAAAGTGAAAGTGAATGCTTTGTATTTCATCGCCTGACTTTAAACTTTAAACGGTCTCCTAAGCTCAGGGCCAATTTCACCCCCAAACCAGGTGACTTGGGCAGTAACACCTTTGCGTTCCGGAGAGAGGCATCTGTGCTGATGGAGCCGTGGAGCGGCAACTGGCAAGTAAGGCGCAATCATACAGCCATCTAGATCTCACAATTCTAGCGGGCAGACCTTGAGCGTCTTGGTTTTTGCAATCATTTTGCAAGTAAACCTGGAAGGTCTTGGTGAAGTCTTGGGGTGACAAGCTCTGCTTACTACCTGGCAAAGTCTGCTCAACGTTTAAACAAAATTGCCCACAGGGAATTGAAAAGTCTCAAGGCAAATCGTTCAAGGCCTTCTTGCGCCTGCAACGAACCACTTGTTTGTTTTTTGGTCGTTCTTGTAAAGTCGGAGCCACAGTACCATCATCATCAGACCTGCAAGACTGCAAGTGAACCCTGAAGTCCCGGTCGACAGAGCCTGTCACGTCCCAATTTGTTGCGCGGGTTTAGACTAGCACAAAGTTGCCGTTTGTTGTTTGTCAAGGTGCATCATCTCAACAGGCGGCAAGCACGACATTGGTTGGCAACGGGTTCCGGGTTGCTGTCAGGCGGCTGCATTAGAGAGAATCAAACCAAAAGGAAGTCATTGCTGCAGGATTGGAAAGTGAGCTGTCACACCAGCCAAGCAACAAGGACATGGACTGAGTCGCCAGCTCTAAGACTTGTGCCTAGCCAATCGTGAGATAATGAACATCTTAATGCGATTGAAAGCTTCAGAACAAACCAGCCACCAACCTAGTAGGAAAGAACAAATCAACATGTCATACTTGACAGCAAGCTGCGCCTTAGCATAGTGGTCCTGAGCGCGACATGGCCTGCGGAGGTGGTCAGAAAACGTAGACATATTCTTGGACGCCGAACCCACTTCGTCCATAAAGCATGTTTAACTACTTTTGGTGGCTGGCTGGTTCAATTGATCGACCTGCCTTCCACCGGTCCATGATGAACGCCTTCTTGACAACGAAGCCGACACAGGCCGCATCGTCCAAAGCTCAATGCTTGACGGCGTAACACCAGTCTTAAATAAAAAGTGTTGAACCAACACCTGTCCTCTAAACAGTTTTCTTTTATTTTGTTCTTGCATCGTTCATCGTTAGGAGCTTTCACAAAACAGTGACAAACACCACACCAAACGCCGAGCACCAAGCTCAAAAGAGAGGTCATGAATTACTATGTGTGAAACTTCGTGAATCATTCTACGCCACGCACGCAAAAGGGCAGGTTCAGACTGAACATTCAGCCTTTCCCGCGGCCTTTCCCTTTAGAACCACGTGTTCTTTCTAAAATTCGTTTTTGGGCTCTTTTGGCAATATCCAGGGCCTCTTTGAATGCAACACCCTGAACCCAAAGCTTTGCTGCCATGTCCAACACGACCTTAGACTCTGCCTTCCTCCGGTACATGGTGACCGCAGCCGCTACTCCCTTCGGCCTTTGCAACCTGAGCCCGCCCGGAATCCGGAATCCACTTGAAGGGGGCCTCAACTAGCAGTAACAGTCTACAGTGGAATCAAAAGTAAATGCTTGCCAACGCCCAGGCACCCCAAAACATTTTCATGGGCTTCAAAATCCTCTGCCAACGGCGCATCGTCTGACAACCGGAGATCAGATCTGGTGTCCACAGCACACCTGACGAGCAAAATCGACGTTAAAGTGAAACAAAAGCGAGCAACCTTGTTTTATAGCTTTTCCAAAACAAATAAAGCTCTGCTTGCCGCAGTAGCCACAAAGAAAACAAAACAAAAACTTGTGATTTCACACAAGGAACGCGGATACGTCCAGCAGCGGCGCTGGCATCAAATGTCCCGTCACCCATGCCTCCAGATCGTCCGCAGCCTTGTCCATTCCATACAAGGGGTTCCTCAACAAAGGGGTGTGCTTCAAAATCTCCTCAACCTGTTTCTGGGCAATGGGCTTCTTCTCAGCAATAACTGCAGGGTCATCAAGGATTCAAAACCGCCACAAACACTCCGAAATACTCACCATTTAAGCGCAGTCTACTCATGGGAAAAACGAAAGGGCATAGTGATCCAACATATCGACTCTAAATATAGAAAGGTGTCATATGTTTCTAACATGTTTAAACCGTTTAAAAACCTTGAGGTTGAACCGGACCATCTCGCCTAGGGGAACACCTGACGGAAGGCATTGCGCTGCCAGTTTGTTCGGAAAGTACAGCATGCGCGCCCCGTACTCCCTGTCCTTCATCCAACGCTTGGTCCTGGGCTGCCACATGATGGCTGCTTTTCCCGAACATAATGATCACCTCTGATGTACTTATTATATAATGACATCGAAACCCACAAAACAAAACAACATCACAGACAGCCAGGATGCTGTAGAATCAAATCGTTCGGATGCTGGTCAGCTGCAGACAAACGGAAGTACTTGTCCGAAACGCTTTCCGGATCCAAGCCTGATGCGGAAAAGTTGATAGCGTGCGTTCAATTTTGTTGCAGAGCGATTCCGGACTGGGCAATCACCCCCCCAACAAAAAACAAAACTTATCAAAACTTATAGCATTTGACCTAGTGGCCAGCATTGCAACGTCTTTGTATGTTGAAAACGTGGGGTGCCCCGGGCCCGCCCACGCCCTTCAAGTGGACGGGAAAAGCTGAAGTGAGAAAATTCTTCCTTGCTGGTGAGCTGTGCAATCAGCAAACAACAGGTCAAGTCTTGATGGTAATCATTTTTACAAAGTCAATTCAATGCAACTGCAAACCAGCTTGCAAACAAAAGGCCAATCTCTGGTTTGATCCATCATGAACGCCCATCGTCGCCCAGGAGGCTCGAAAGGAAAGTCAGACTGCTGCAGCCAAGCTTGAATCACCCGCAGGAAATCGGATGGTGTTTGAACAGTCCGGGCTTGGGTAGCGATGAACTTGCTCAAGCGCCCAAAGCACTGGTCCAAATCTTCATGACTATGCCCTGATCGAAGGCAGCAAATTGATGCCTCCTTCACGACTCCTCAGGTGAACCCAACAGCGCACAGAAACCAGCCCTCGCGTCAAACAACTAACACAAAGTAAACACAAACGCCTTACAGTATAAGCCAATTTTCCCTTGGCAACGAGCGTTGATAGGAATGCCAGCATGTGGTTGTTCTTGCATTCCCTGACAGTGTTGTCACACTGGAGGGACAAACGTGTGTCCTCCAGTGTGACCCCCATATCGTTCTTCAACCGCGTGAGAATGTACGCTACCAATTCCACGCTGCCATCTCCTTTGTTTTGACGCAGGCACCCCTCGGCCACATGAATTTCGATTGATCCATGCCGTCCACCATTAGGGTCAACTGATCAGATCCCACTGTCCGAGACAGACCCCGAAGGGTCCAGTAACTCATGCGGTCAGCATATTGATTGTGAAGGTGTTGGTGGAATTCGGCTTGCTGGGCGGTGCGTGCCCGGATGTGGTGGCCTAGGGACTGGATCAGCATCTTGTGCTTGATGCACGTTGTGCATTCAGGGTGTTGGCGAAGCGGGCGGAACTGCATGAAGCTGTATTCAGCCACCCAAACCTACTCAGCTACACCCGTCCAAAAAAGACCATACCCCTGTATAAGCGCGCTGGCCTACACAATCATCAACCGAGAATGGACTAATTATCCAAGCCACTTTCCAGAACGTCGCAAAGGAAGCGCATGGTTTGGAACTCAAGCGGTGCTTTTGTTTGTAGAGTTCCCAATACTCCTTCATCTGGCCTGGTGGTAACCATTTCTCCTCATATGCCCCGCCAGAATCAACTCCCACACGGCCTGGATTGATCTGAACACTCCGCTTCGTGTTCTTGGGCTTCTTCGTGGTTTCCAGGTCCTGTCCTTTGCCAGGCACCAAATCACCATAAGGATCTTCCTCGCAGTCACATTTCTTAACCAGTTCAAGTGATGTGGCCACGTCATAGGAGTCGTCCCGGTAGTCGGGGAGCGTTTCAGCCACTGATGTGTATATTTCAGACAAGAATGAAACTATGTCTGCCCGACACTCACCATAGTCAGAAGCGTGAGGTTTTTTGAGGTACCTCAGGTCCACAGGCGGCGAAAGCTGTCCAGCGCTGACTGCTTTGTGGATCTTGGAGAAACGCTTTGAACCTTGGCGCATAGACTGGAGAAGGCTTGCTCCACAGCAGACTTGTCTATTATTATACAGGGTAACTAAAGAAATGAAAAGCGGTAAAACAAGGTCTGAGGCTCCAATCCCATGTAACCTCTTCCAACCCTTCAAGCAAACGGGTTCATCAAGAATCTGCCATTCGCCATTGAGCGAACTGCGCTTCTCCCGAATCCGGTCAAAAACCTAGCTCAACCATCACTGGCGCACTAACAAAATGGAACAGCCCCAACCCCAGCTTGAATGCTACGTTCATGGAAAAACTGTCGTAAGATGCAAATTTCGCTGAGGTTCCATCCGGTCCTGGTCCAACTTGTGCAAATTGTTCCAATCCAGCCGCAACTCCAGCAAGTCTGCAAATTTGGCGTCCTCCCTGAAGACATTGAAGCATTGCCGAGTTTTGCAAGGGCAGCTCTTGGTCAGTGTTTTGCGCAACGCAGCCTCCACAGCAGCTTTGCCATCCAACTCAGACTCGTCTGCGACAGCCGGCAGTTTTTTGCTGCGCGCCCTCTTTTTGGGCCGAGCTTTGACTTGAGGTTCCCACTCAACGCTGCTGTCTGAACTCAGCCCTGTCACACATGGCAGCTCATCCGTCGGCATCCGACAGGGCGCAGCAAACAGGATGTGAGCAAAAAACACAAAATTGAACAAACCCTTGTGACCTTGTGGCGAAGAAGCGGGATGCGTGCTGAAAAAAATAAAAGCCTTGTGGTCAGAAGTGCCCACTGCGTGATTGTGGCCAACTTAGCTTAAAGCCCCGTTGAGCTTTGCCCCCCTGCTTGGCTAAAGGATTCTCCCGGCCGGCAGCGGAGTGCGCACTCCCCGCATGGTGCAAGTCTGGTTTCCAGCGTTTAGGCAAAAAGTTGTCGGTTTCACAACAGTAACAGTAACTACACAGAACCCAAAGGACTCAAAGCACAGTTGGGCACCTTGCCCAACTAAACAATATATAGAACCCAAACAAAGGTTCACCATTGAATTCAACAACTAGCCATCATTGAGCAATTCTGAAACTACCCACCAAACTACCCATTCATTACAGTCTAATGACCTAGCACTTCAAACATAGTAGCCAAATGCAAACATCAGATCACCGTCATCATCTGATCATCTGATTATCTGATCATCTGATCATCTGATCATCATCATCATCATCATCATCATCCCAGCAGTCAATTGCTGAGACCAGCCCAGAATCTCAAAAATTGCCCAGGCAAACATCATCATCCCAGCAGTCAATTGCTTAAACCAGCCAGCCCAAAGTTTCCATAAAATTGCGATGCAAACATCATCATCCCAGCAGTCAATTGCTGAGACCCCCATTCATTTTGAGACCCCCCTTCCCAGGAAAACCCTTTATTGACACATGGCGCATTTGGTCTGAGGTCGGGGGGCAGGACCTTGACATGACGGCTGGCTTCCAGATCGTGAGGAGTTCTGAGAGCGTTCCATCTTTCGATTCAGATCCGGCATCTCCTTTCCTTTTTCGTGGGGTGGACCCGCTCAAGGTTGAGTTGAAGGACTACAAAGGTTCTTTGGAGGAACTGGAGCGTGGGCGTACACCGCTCCCAAATTTTGACTTTGAAGAGTCTTGCCGGACATGTGATGGAGATAGATTGAGTTCATGCTTGCTATCTGTTGCTTGGGCACGTGAGACGTACCTCAAGATTCCTGCCCAGCGCACACCTTGGATGGACCAGCGCAGGCCCCAGTCGTGATTTGGAAAGAGCACAGGGTTGTTGCGCGCAACCAAGTGTATATCTGCAAGCCTTCAAGGCGTGCTATCAGCTAAGGATCTTCACACCGGCATTGGCAGTGTCAGGGCCAGAGGACTTGCATGTGGGGCCAACAGACGTCGGCTTTCCTTCCTTCCAGGTGGTGCTGAAAGGCAGCCGCTTCATCGCTGGTGCATCTATTCTTGACCTCATTCAGGCCTTCAAGCAAAAGAATGAGAAGCTCCCATCAGACTTCGTTGACCTTTGCGCCTTCTTAACTGAAAGTGATTTGGAAAGCTTAGTGGGCCAATGCGCATGGGGTGTTCTCAATGAAGGGGACATGGTGGTTTTGCCGGCGGGATGGCTGATTGCAACTGGCTGCTGGGTAGCGTTTGGTATAGAAAGTGGTTCCTGTGTTTTATCACGAAAGCCAGCCGATAGGCAAGGATTGAGTTTTTAGGGTGAACGAAGTGAATAAAGGGGGTTTGGGGTCGTGGTCGTGCAGAGGCCACTTTTGGGAGGTCGAACCTTGAGCCTGGTGGGGGAGAGCGTTCAAAAGCAGGGTCAGGAAGGCATCGAACAAGTGGTTTGGATGCAAGAGATGTAAATGACGCCGAGTAGTGCACCATTAGCATCATGAAGGGGTCTAAAGACAATTTGTCTAGCCCTGAGCAGGGCATAGGGACTGTGTAGCTCTGATCATACCAAGAAGGACCAAGCAACAAAGAGTGAACGCTCTGGGAGCGAACGATGTGAGTATGTCCAGTTGGGCGAGGGTGAACTCAAGCCGGGACACGCGGAAGCGTTCAACACGATGCCCAAAACATTTACCACAGCAACAGAAAGGATGTCCTTCGGGCATTCATTATGTATCTCTACACGGAGTCTGATTGTTTTGCTTAGATCTGGGGCATGCGCAGATCAGGGGCATTTCTGGACAAGCTTTAGCAGGCTGCAGCTCTAAGGTTTCATAGCGAGCAAGCAAGGGGCGTTTAGCAGCAACTCTCTGTGGCCACGTGTGAAAGACTGAAACACGATTCAACACTTCATGCTGTGCTCCGATCTTGATCTACTCCACGTTGATACAAGCTCCACGAAAGCTACAGGCATTCAACAACAAGTGCTCCGCTATTTTTTCCCCCCAGTCTTGCGCTACCATATTGGTCTCTCGCTGGCTTTCGTCCTCTCCTTTCTCAGGTTTGCATTACAACACTTGATTTTACCGTCCAAAGCAGCCTTTTAAGGCGCGTCGTAAACACTGTGCAGGTAATATCCCGCAAAGGGTTTGCAAGGACAATGCTCTTACAGCCTGCATTCAAGGGCTTTGCGGCTCTTATGAACAGGCTCATCAAAGTTAGCTCATTTCATTGGGTGCATTTTTCGCGTGGGTACATGCTGCGCACGGGTGTTGTTAAATCATTTGGACACCTGATACTGATACTAGCTGTCTCTCTCATCCCCTGTGCAGGTGAAGATGCTGGGTGATTCCGACTTGGTGAGAGCTATCAAGCACCTATGTGAGTCAAAGCGGATGGCCACCTTGTGGAAGAGTTGGGTTGCAGGGTTCAACACACGAGATAGGCTTGTGGCCTTCCAAGATGAACAACCCAACTCACACACCACCCGCCCGGCCTTGACCGACAAACGCGAGGCCGAGGAGAATCCTGCAGAACAAGCAAAAACAGCGGAGGTAGTGGAACCTGAGAAAGTCAAAACAGAGACCACTGTGAAAGAAGAACCAGAGAGTGAAATTGTGACGCACGGGGGCGATAGGGGCAGCGCATCAGCATTGGTGACCGAACCCGGATCCTTCGAAACGAGTTTGCCGTTGGATTTGAGGCCTTTGGTCAACATGACCGATGATGTCGCAACGGCCGGCGGGAGTGATGATTTGATCAATGCCGGAATAGCTGCGTGCAGGGACCACGCCCTGTTCAAGACCTACATGAACCATTTGGTGCTTGAACACTACGTTGAGTCAGATTTCATTTTTGGAAGTGAAGACGGGGACCAATGGGAGGACATCAAACACTTCCTGTCTTGGCTCAAAGAGCGTTACGTGTACAACATAGCCACCGAGCAGCCCAAAGTCAATTCGCCAAAGCCCCTACCGTCACCAGCGCGGGCTCCACAAAGCATGAGCAAGCTCAGCCCAAAGCCAGAGGCAACAGTGCATCCAATTACAGCAGTAGAAGCCCCAGCCCCAGCAGAGAAATCAGCAAAAGCAGTGGCTGCCCCACCAGAAGCCCCAGCAGCAGAGGCACCAGCAAAAGCATTAGCGGAATCAGCGAATGCATCAGTCGAGGCCAATGCAAGATCCGCAGAAGCTCCAAAAGCAGTGGATCCACAAGCCAAGGCAGCAGCGGCTGCACCAGTCAAGAACAGTCCAACATCGGATGAAGCTCCACAAGCGCCAGTGGCTGCCCCAGAAGCCCCAGCAGCAGAGGAACAAAAAGCAAAAGCATCAGAACCAGCAGCTGCACCAGTCGAGACCAGTGCA